ATCCCAATGAGCCGTGGTGCCAGCCGGTTGCAGTCGGTTCACGTCTGCCATCGGACTCTTCCGCAGGACCTGGCTAACGCTTCGCGTAAACGCAAATCGGTTACGCAATTCTGGAGAGAACGGACTCGATTAGAGGGAGTGTTTATTGACCGAGCTAACACCAAGCTGGTTACACTTTCTACAACCACTTGGCGGTCCGGCGGGAACCCAGCGATCGGACCTCCTCCGGTCCCGAGGTCGATCGGCGGATTTATTTTCGGCAGCTAGTTCCTACCGGTTACCGGCTATTTCGGGGACCCTCTTTCTCCGCCTATCTCTCTGTCTTTTCTCGTCATAAAGTGGACCTAGTTGCGCGTGTTATGCGATTTATTTGCGTAGTGCATTCGCCCAAGGCATGACCCGCTGCCTCTCGGGGTCGAGCTCTTCGCGAACAGCTGATCGGGGAATTGGGACGCGGTTTTACGAGGCGAAACTGAAGGACATTCTTTCGCAACCAAGTACATTCCTTCGGATACTGTCTACTTCCTTAGGACCCTCATCCTTTCAACCTCTGCATACTACAAAACGAAGTCCGTGATAGGCGTCTATCTGTACATTTGTTCGGGCTAACTTGAAAAACCACCGGATGGATTTCGATGTGGTTTTCATTGCACCATAAAGCATTCTTTTAGGAAGGTTTAGATCCATAAAACATTACTATAAAATTAGAGGGGCGGCGATTTTAGTATAACAATCCGTGCGAAGTCGGGGAGGGAAGTTGATGACTATTGTTTCAGTAGTGCTGGTCATCCTTAGGTCAGACTGCCCAAGTAATTGATACATCGATCCAACTTCGAATGCCAACTTTCGCATCGATAACCTGTAACAATGTTCAGGTTCACGTCCATCGGTGTATGCTCGTTAGAGCTCTCGGGGGGAAAATCGTTTCCCTATCCCAAAGTCCAACACTTTGCGCCGAGCCCTTTTCTGCAGACAATGCGGTTCCGGGCTCGTTTCGGACTTGGGAGTACAACACTCCGAAACTGGTACATCCGAGATTTGGTCGATGAACTCTTTCTCCATCCCCCACTTACCCTTTGGCGGGTCCTTGCCGGCTTTTTCAAAGGGGTGCGTTTACCTCGCGTGCATCCCAGTTACGGCCGCGGATCTGGTTCACGGCTTCTTCGTCTTTCAGTCATTATTAACCCCCGCGGGACATAATAGCTGATAAACCGTAATCATCGGTTCCTCTTTCTGCCCGTTTTGCAATATTTAACCGCGTTTTTGTATTTTTATGTACGACCCGCCCCGATATCGTCGTGGTCTTCTTCTCGACGTTGGATATGGTCAAAGTTTCGAGATCAACATCGGCGCTCTCACCTGGGTAGTGCTCGTTTATTGCAAACCTAGTTTAATCTGACTTCGTCCCCCGTTCCTGCTTTTAGCGGGCCACCCTTGCCATGGATCAAACTCCTCGGTGCCCTGAGAGCGACCCCAGAAGAGCCTAACGAGACCAAGCTCCTCAACCGAAACAAAGCGAACCCTCGACACCCCTCCAGCCTACTTCCGGGTCCTTCTAACTTGGCCATTTTTCTCATCTCCAGGACCTTTGCGAGGCCGACGTTTCGGATGCCGCCAAAAAACTACCACCAGCGGTCGAAACGACTTCTGATCTCTATAACTAGTAAAATATCTACTTCCCATATATGGAAAGCTTCATGATGAATTGCAGACTAACTGAATATGAACCGCGGTATGAGGGGTGTGCATGTGTACAAAGAGCTACGGTGGTATAATGATTTTGAATAGACATAAAATCATAGTTACACCGATATTAGAGTTAAAATCCTTAATCCAAGGATTACTTAACGCGTGATTACAATTGATCGCCCAAAATCAAGTGGCTATCTCATTCCTGGCGACGTAACAGGAGTTGCACCTATCCTAGATTACGGACATAGGGCTTGTCTCTTCTACGTGTAATGTATTTATATGTAATATAAGAGCGATGGCTTGGTGCATCCATCAAATACTTCTGTTAAACAATGCTCTGTTTTAAACGTTTGCGTAAACACTACGATGGTAGTTTGTGGTCCCATAATCCGAGATGCTGTAGTCGCCTCTCATTGTTATATCATTCGGTGGGGTATCAACTATCTAGTTAATATAGAGATCAGGAGAAACGACCGTGCCACTATTTTCGCTCCTCGTAAAGCACCTCCTTGCCTGTAAAAAAATCGATCTCACGGTTGGACTTTATATGAGGTGTCGACGATTGAAGTCCGACGGGCTTTTGTCTCTTTTTCTTGGCCGGGGAGTCCTTTTCGACGAAAATCCAGGTGGTGGACGGCCGACGGTAAATCACGTCGGCAATAAATCCCGTGAAATATTTTCCATTCGAAAGGGGCGACGTTTGCGAATCGGAGTCTCCATATGTCGGATGAACGATGGCTTGGCACGTATGATTCTCGTCGGAACAAAAAGAGGCGACGGTCGCCTCGAGTATCGGAGGAACTCTCTTATGTTTCCCGGAGGAACCTGGCGATTTTCCCGTTCGAACAACGCCCCATTGAGGCAGCTATTCCCTGACAAGAATCTAAAGACTTTATGGGATCCCCTGGAGTTTGGCTAGAAATGGCGCCTCGCGAGTTCCCCATTTTTTGCCGAAATTTTCATTTTAACCCTGTACCTACTGTGGAATCGGGTCTGTACATGTACCACATGTACGGATAGCTCGGCCGTGGAGTGTTAACATTTTGTATGAATACGATATTAATTTGTCGCTTTGAATACATGGGAATAAAGGGGGCCACTATAGTGACGCCTCGTAAAAAAACGTCGGTCATGCGGAAGCCACTATAGTGGCGTTTCGTAATTAAAGGGTTAAAAAAGGATGAAGAATTCCTCTCGGGCGAAATAACGAGCTTGGACATGAGGTGGTGCCGGTTTACTCGAGTGAAAAGAACGTGATATTTTTTTTTCTTTCCCCTTTTTTCTTCTTTTTTTCTTTCAATCGGAACGGCAGTGATCTCCGTATTTATATATGGCACTCCGGCGCTCCTCCGAATCTCGAGCATTGTGTGTCGGGTAAATAATGGTCTGGTATATTTGACATTGAGGTAAATACTGCCACTGGTACCGTTCGATATAGCATGCCGCGAAAGTCCTTTACGGCGCCCCGGGGAATCTTTGGTACTCAGCTTGTATTCCCGGAGATATACTACCGCGAGTACCACCAGGCAATAGGAGTGGATTCTATTTATTTATTAGGAGATTCCTCGGAATGTAGAATCGGAGTCTTCGGCCCTCTCCGTCACGTCGATCCGGCTCGAAACGCGGGAAGGAAACGCCCGCAACTTCCTCCTCGGTGAAGGTAGTTAAAGCGTGCCACTTAAGTTTCCTTATTTATTCATAATTTATCGAACGCATCCCGTCAAGGGGTTCTATCTCCCTTTTTCCTTGATACGGTCTCGCCTTTTCGAGTTTCCCATTCGAGCGAGATGCGTGACCCGCCTGCGTGTATGTTCCACCGAGACGAAGGCAACCGATCGATAAGGTAGCTTTTCTATGGCGTAGTTGGAGACATCAGCCCTTTTGTACCTTACTTTCCTTTCAGTCCCTAATGACAAATCCACGTTTCCTATTCCGTATTGCCCGTTAGAAGTAATTTCCCGGTAATATCTGGCTGAAAGGGTCGGAAGCGTCATTGTTGTCCTGTTTGCGCTAGCTACGCCCTGCTCGCGGTAATTAGGCCGGAAAATTGATAAATGATAAAACACGGGCATTTCGGTTGCGAGAAAAGGTGGCCCTTGAATTTCTCTCGGATTCTTAGCAATGAAAATACCGAAGGAGATATCAGCAGCTACGGAACGTTGGAAGGTTTCAACTCGTTAAGGTGATATGAAAGTGGCATCTGAAGGTTCAATCGTTCGTGAGTCTTCCCTCCGAACTGGCTGAACCGAATCGATTAAAACTTTACCACGTGAATTTGAAAACCCTGAGGAAGGCCCTGGTGAACTCGTGAAATTCAATTTTTACAAAACGTTATCAAAAATATCTATGAACGAATTGAAGGAAAATTTTTTATTTCATGGTTCATAAATTTCAGGGTCGAAGCTTGCAGCCTCGATATTCGTATTGTAAAGTTTGGAAGAATTTCGTACACCAGTTTGGAGAAAAATATCACAAACGAGACCTCTTTCACGCCATTTTCCTATAGCCTTAATCACGAGTTAAGGTTGTATTCCAGTCAATTTCAAGTTTTTCTTATTGCAACTCGAATTTTCGGTACGAACAAATGCGAAATACGAGTGAAAGAGCGAAACTGAGGTATTTACGTAGAGCTGTACTGTCTATATGGATAGCTCCGCCGCGGAGTGCTAATATTTTATATGTATACTATGTTCATTTGTCGCTTTGAACGCATGGGAATGAAGGGAGCCATTATAGCGGCGTTTCATAAACAAACGTCCGTCAAGCGGAAGCCACTATAGTGGCTCTTGGTAACTAAAGGGTTAACCGCGTGTTACTCGAATCGTTTTACTTGCCAATTCGTCACAGGCTTGATTGTTTTCATGCGGAATGTACCTCCTCTCTTCAAAGAGTTGTCGATTCGAATCTAAACTCGAGTAGACTCTGTTTTCGAATTCAAGTAATTCGAGTCGATAAAGTATTCGACTAGTTGCGTCACTACCAGTACACCGAGAAAAAAGAAATTCATCCAAAGAAATATTTCTTTGAGTAGTACCAAAGAAGCATTTTAATATTTCAATGAATAATTAATTAATTCAGATAAACTCACTGAAAATTGTCATAATTCCGAAGAGACGTTGCATTGAATTTATTCGAGTTTATTTGAATTAATTCTTTGAATTTATAAAATATTCCTTCGGGAGTATTCAAAGAAATATTTCTGTGGTTCTATGAAATTCTTTTTTCTCGGTCTCTCAGGGGAGAAAAATGGACGCCATCGGTCAGTGGCCAGTGGGGAATGTCCGATAATCGGGGTACTTCTGTTTCAGGGACAAAGTTCCTCTGCAGCGAGGTAATAGCGCTGATCAGGAGCGAGGTGGACGATATTTGTCTGCAGATCATAAACTTCGAGGACCTGAGCGCTCAGCCTCCTCCTCAGCCCGCCATCCCGCCACCAAGCCACGCCAACAACAGGCTCGTTACCCGCTGTGAGTTCCAATAACACATATTGCCCTCTTCTGTGTGGCTCTTTACCCATTTATTACGCGGACAAGCTGCTCGTTCCGTTTTCATTAACCGTCGCTTCAATTTGCAAGCCAGCATCCAGCTACAAATGAAAAGGGATGATCGGATTGGCCCGCAAAGCGAAGTCTAGTTTTGATGCGACAGGGCTGATGGGACCCTAGGGACCCGCCAGTGACGCTCGCAGACGTATTACTAGGGTCACTTAATTAAATTTGGATCATGTTCACCGTGGGAACCCGCGAAGTTGGGGCGAGATCATCCGTACCACCATCGCATATGGTGCTTTTATCGTGCAGTGTTTGGCTTCGAACTCTCTGATTAGGGCCCAGATGTTCGATTTTGATAAGGGTCTGATAAAGGTTTTAACGCGACCCGAAATTCCCGGATAGACGAGTGTACTCTAATTTCGAGATCCGCGAACTCGATCTTGTATGATCAGGTAGCGGGATTGCGGATCTTCCTACATAGTGTACCTTGGTGCAGGCTTAATTCGGGGAGACAACTACGTGTTCCTATCTATACCTCGGCTGGAACCCTAATTAGGCTCCCATTCTAAGATCACACGTGTAATATTGGCCCATCCCCTCGTGTCCGAGTTAGGGTCGCTGCAGCCTGAGAACCGGGACATTTAAAAGGCACTGCCGTTTTATGATTATGAGAAATCGGGGTTAAATTTCTCCGCATAATGAGGCGGCCCCACCGCAGACGCTTTATGTGCAATGGAATTATAATATGCATGCCCCTGTGTTTAATACATATGTATGCCGCGCATACTTGGGGGCCTATGCATCACGTTTTGTATCCGAAGTGTTGGTGGATTATTTTTAGAAGCCGGTGCTGCAGCGCCGGTGGACGCAAGGCGCGCCTAACGCTTAACCCTGACCTGGTAATAAATGTTATGCCCCCAACTATACTGTCAGTCCTGGCGGCTGCTGATGTGCCTTTGCTAGGATCAGCTGATCGTTCCAGTCCGACCTGACCTGACCAGTAGTCGCAGAATCGGGACCGTGTCATTAGATTTTTTACAATGTAAAACGAATCCATCCGCAGGATGGTTATCGATACTTGCCCTGCGGGAGACATCGAGTCGAGATTGTTTCTTATCAGCTGGTCGTGGAAGCTAAGGGTCAGGGGTTGAAAGACCCCATTGTCGGGGTGGGTCCAACATCGATTCGTTGTAGGGGAATCCTAGGGAATCTGTCCACGGATTTTCTGGCTCAGCCTCGATACTTCATTTTGCAGGGGAAGGGAGCGTTCGCGATACCGTTTACCCGATTTTAAATGATGAAAGGATCAGCTTAGCTTTGGCTTTATTGGTAGCTGTCTCTATGTCTGACGGGACGGTGCAGGGATATTGTCTTCGATATTACTTAGAGAGATTTCGGGGTATAGGAGCGATGCTTCTATTCGGAGATGGTCCGCATTTGATTAGCCATTCGGCGTTTAGTCTAAGCAAAAGTGTCTCACTTACTTAAAACTTTAATCCTACCAGCTGGTGATTCGCACCTTTGCCGCTAATCCCCTTTCATAGGATCAGAGAGGTTCGGGTTCACCCTTAAGTAGCAAACTTAATTTAGGTCAATTAGTTTTACCTGTATTTTCTGCGCCTCTAAAGCTACCGTTCATTCCGCCCATCCCTGGAACTAGAAACTAATAACTTACTCCCGGTTAAGCGTTATTATCAGGAATGACGATTTTGGATTTTTTGCAACGAGCTCTTGTTACTTTCGGCCTGTAACTTGCCTAAAACTTGCTTTAAAAAAATTTCTCTCATTCCTCGGCTGTCTCTTGCGACTTTTTATTAGCACGAAAGATCACTAACACGTTTCCGAATTCTTGCTGTCTGTACTAACAATGACTAATGAGACGCAATGACGTTGACTCGAGCAGTCGACAGGGCAAGGGCATCCTTCCGAGCCGGACTCTCAAGGACTGGTGTCGTAGGACCTTCAAGAGTCAGAAATCGACCAAGGACGTCTGCGACCTTGCCTCATCGACTTCCTGACGGGACCATCCTCGACGAGGAAGCCTCCGAAAATTGGTAAGTCAATTTTTTTCTTTACTCCAGCGATCAATGTAGTTATTAAAATCATCGGTGTGGCATATTTATACTGAACGCTTGGAAACGAACTTCTTCCCAGATACGGATGTACCTTTTTAATTAATACGCGTAGATACGTCCAATAATTCGTCTCGGTTTGGTGACCACTCACCCACACCCATATGCCACACCTTATCCAAAATTTCAATCGATTCTGATTTTCGGGAACAGTTCTGGAATAAAACTGCCAAAACACCTTTTCATCGGTCAAGATCATCACTACTCAACCTCCGACAAAAAACCTCTCGAAAAAGATCGTGAAATTTGTTCACACACCTATACAGAGAGAATTACGTATATTTTTGTTGGTGATTTCATGTTTCTCGTTTAATCTTAGTCTCTGTCGGACTCGACATCATTCCTGCCGATGTACGCCTAGTTTATGGGAAACGTTGTAAGAGTCGCCGCCTAGCGGACGCCTGGAGTACTACGCGCGGATCGAGAGTCGGAATCGTAGAGTACGAGACAAATAGTTACATGTAACCTATTATTTCCCAAGAAACAGCGATGCCGAGTAATAACGTTCCGTAAAGCGACGGTGAATTTAATCCTCCCGATACACGCGTGCAAATTACTCATATTTTTCACTGTTAAAAGGAAACTTATATAATCGAAACCGCGAGTGGGTGCCGTCTCCGCGGACGCGCGTCCTATATATCGGCCATGTTGTCACGTAATGGGAGATAAGTTGTCCCGCGCAATAAGAAGAAGCAACGTCAAGTTTATTATTGGAAAAGTAACGTATAGCAACGCATCGGGTATTTGATGTTACCGGTGCCGCAAACCGGCAGCTGTTGAGGCTGAAGTTAGAGTTCTCCCTCTGACCCAGTAAGAAGAATAAACAAATGCAAACGCATCGTGGACGGCCATGTACTTACTCGGGAAGATCGTGTACCGAGGGGCAATAACACCAGCAGATTGCTCGAAATATTCGTCCCAACGTACCGCGTCGTTTTGGGAAACTTTCGGTGCCATCTGCAGACCTGACCGTCACAATCAGACTGGTTAACAAAGGGAAATCGCTTTTCGATATTCGCGACCCTCGACTGATAAACGGATTGCGGAATGTCCTCCCTCTGTTCGAGGATCGATCGTCGCGTCTCCTGACCGCCAGCTGAAATCGATCCTCGATGAGAGTGCAGAAACTCCTGGCCGATGCGTCGGAACGAGTCCGGCCTTCGCGTCGATTTGGAATATCGACTTTTACCCTTTGGTGCCAATCGAAGGCGGCTCGCAGGAGGCGTGTCGAGGTGGCTGACAAGTCGATTTAGAGACCTGTCAGCCTGTCATCAATGGGGAGCTTCTTCGCCCTTTCCGGGCCCCCTCTTTGCCGACGATTGGTACCGCCGTCGGAGAGTCCTTGTAGGGACCTAACGATGGGCGCGTCGGTTATAGATGTGCTTCCCCAAGGAGAACTGCCGATAAGAATTTCCGTCAAGAGTCGGATCCCTCTTCTATACGATCTGGAATCACATAGGAAATCCTTGAAAGCATGAATTGGTCCCGACAACGAATGGGCGGCTGAAATTGTGTCGCGACTTCGGGGGTCCATTCATAATCAGGGTTGCCATCGACAGCTCGGATCGGTCATTACATTAAATTGGATGTATTTCAAGGCGAGGGGGTGTATATTTCAGGGTAGTCCGGGGTTGCACGCAACGCTCTGCTCGTCGTTGTTACGAATAAGAACTGCTGATAACAATTTCCGTCAAGAGTCGGATCCCTCCTCTGTACGATGTGGAATCACATAGGAAATCCTCGAAAGCATGAATTGGTCCCGACAACGAATGGACGGCTGAAATTGTGTCGCGACTTCGGGGGTCCATTCATAATCGGGGTTGCCATCGGCAGCTCGGATCTGGTGAAAGCATTAATCCGAAGGCTTGCACGGGGGACGGCATAAATTGGATGTGTTTCAAGGCGAGGGGGTGTATATTTCAGGGTAGTCCGGGGTTGCACGCAACGCTCGGCTCGTCGTTGTTAACGACGCGAAGCTCGAGCCTCAAGCTCGCCAATGCTCCGCGAGCATGACAGAGAGGAATGCTAGGGACATTTTGACCCTGAGGGATTGCGTTGCTCCTTGCGACGCGAGCCCTGCCCCGCTACCAGGTGTGTACCACCCTCGTAAATAGACCGAAAGTCCCTAGCCAAGTCGCCGGCCCCTAACCTAATCCGCATAATTAATCAACCCTTTGGGCTACGCGTGGATGCGCCATTCCTGCGCGGTCGATCGATTGGCAGCACCGCGTGCATTTGTCCCTAGATGGCGAAATGATCGGCTCGCTTATCGGCTTAACTGCAGACCGCGCCAAGATGTCCCTGAGATATAGGGAAAACGACGCTCGTTTTTGCCGGGAAAAGTTCCCGGCTCGCTCGGCTTGACGATTTTCCCGGAAAAGAAATCGTTACAAAAAGGATCTTAAAGGTCTGGCAGCTATCAGAGGCTGTGGTATCGCTTAACGATTACGGTGATATCAAAGTGCCGTCGAAGTGGTCCAGTTTGTGAAACTTTCCTTCAAACTGGGTGCGCCGAATTGTTTCAAACTTCACAATGGAAATATGGAGGCTGGAAGGAAGGTCTCCTGACACTCCTGAAATTTCAATTTTTTTTTTACAGACACTTAAAAAATTATTATAGAATATGAAAATTCACGAGTGTTAAGACTTTCCTTGTAGCTTTCATATTTACATTCTAATGTTTAAAACGATTCGATACACCCAGTTCGGGGAAACGTCGTTAAAACGTCATTACGAACGTACTCGTCGAACTATGCACTTTTAATTGTCGGGAGTGCGTTGCGTTTTGTAAACGTTACGTTTTTTTTTTTACGACCGGTCAACTTATGTAAACGAAAGGGTTACTCCAAGGCGGGGTTAAACGTAACTTCGTTTTACGGAATTGAGTTGCCCGGTTAGACGTGTAATTTCGTAACTTTATCAGAATACCCACCTCGGAGGACATGGGCGACCTCGATTTTCGTTCCGCGGTAACCAGTGCAATTTTTCCGCAACTAATTTCGCGGGGGGTAGAATTATCCTCAAGGATGTGTATTACTCATTATTATTGTGCAGCATGAACTAGTTTCGCGGAAAATGTTAAGATACGGTTTACGTTTCAGGGCAGTCGTTTACAGCGCGACCTCGATTTTAACATCACCCTAAGTGGCTGGTTTCTCTTTATTTAGCTACCCTTTGAGGGGAAAATCATTTCCGAAGAGGTTCGAGGTTTTTCTCGTTCTTCAGGGAACTGATTTTCCTGACTTCTCGCACAAGCCGCTAGCTGGGATTAATTTCGTCGCGATCGAGAAAGAGAATTCTCGCTTACGGGGGTATTATCGTCTGGAAACTTGAAAAATTCGATTTTTCTTTTTTGGCATTTTCTTATATTGTCATTTTTCTCAGGCATCGATCAGGCTCCTTACGTGTCGGGTAGAATTGTCAGGCGAAGCCGGAGGCACGGATAAATACTCGAAATAGTGGCCGATATGGATCGGAGGCCGCGGTAATGGCGGCGATTTCAGAGCCATTTCACTCATACATTTCTCTCGCCCCCTCCTGGAAGTACGATTTTCATCTCGTGACCGCGGCTCGTTTCCGATTCCTCGGAGGCGATCAAATTGAAAGGTCGATGTCAGGGCCGTATACCTCCGATAAACATCGACGATACAATTGAATGAAGCGAATGTTTAATTGGAACCGATCTCGCGTGACGGAGGCCCGTTACTTCAAGCCGGAGGAAATTCTCCTCGTTTCCTCGAAGAATGTCTTCGGGCTTGTCCCGGGATCGGAGATTGATATTTTTGCGTTAGCTCGGGACATTTATCGCCCCGAGGGCCCGTGTAAAGTGAATTATCGGGTAATCGTATCGGAAAGATGGCGCGTCTTCCGTCTCCGATTGGACTTTTGTTCTACTTCAAAATGGCGGGCGCATTGTTCCTTTCCTTATTTCAGGGAAGAATGAGGGGTTCAGCCTTTGATTGCGTCACGGATATACCTTGGGGTCCTCGGTTTACGTGATTTCGTGGAATCGATACGCGAGAACAATGGCCGTCTGGTCGGTAAAAAGGGACCCATCAAGACGACACCGAGACCCAGAAGGATGGGCGGGGACTCGGTGCCTCGCAATCAGTAGATTTCGAGTCGCGTCAGCGGGTTTCGCGAACGGGTGATAACGTTGGAAGGGTTCCAAGCGAGGCCCGGCTGAAAACTCTTCTGCCGTAATCCGAGTGGACGGTCTGGCCGTTCCCATGATTAGTGGACGAGGACCCTCGAGCCTCTCGACGACGTAAACGGTGTCGGGGGCGCAAAGGTGGGGGCGGGAATCCGCCGTTATGAAATTTTTCCGCGTCCCTCCTCTCGATGACCCTTTCGGTCCTCCTGCTTCGAGCTTTATGTCGCTAACAAGGAAGGTATCTCAGGTCGATCTCTCCGATTTCATTTCTTTTATAATATGTTATAGTAGAGTAAAAACTAAGCGACACGTATTTTTTTTTATCTACCATTAAACACTTTAAAGGGGTGAAACCACCATCCAAAGTAAGGCATGTCAAGGGGCGATTTGGAAGTTTCACCCACAAGAACATAATATTTTTTAACCAATCCACCTGGAGAAGCTTTCTCATAACGAGAAATGAAAAATATAATTTTCTCAATTAAGAAAAAAAAATTAAGGGGTGAGCCACTCTTCACAGGCCTCACTTTGGATGGTGGTTTCACCCCCTTAATGTGTTTAATGACAGATAAAAAAAATACGTGTCGCTTAGGTTTTAGTCTACTATAACATATTATAAAAGAAATGAAATTGGAGAGATCGACCTGGGATACCTTCCTTGTAAATGGTAGTCCGATGCTTCTCAAGAAAGGCGAACCATGGTCAAGCGAGGGCGACGTAATCGCCCGGTAAATTGCGGCCCGAAGGATAAACCCTCGTGCATAACCGCCCCAACTGTGTGACAGGTGCAACAGTTTATCGCAAATAAGGGAAAGGGCTTGGCTTTCATCGTTTCATGAGTCACGATGGCGGCCAATTATGCCTGTGGTTAACAAAACAAAGTCGGCGCGTTTACGTGCATACCCGCGCACGCCGCTGCTGGGCGGGTTGAGGTTATGTATCGATTGCCGGGACTGACCTAACACTGACACACTCCACTTGCCGGGTCTGACCTCTGTCGCGATCTGCATCGATCATTTCCTGACCTCAAGTGTAATTCCCGACTTACGCACGTATCGAGAAAAGGGGCCACCGTGTTACACCCTGCTATTAATTAGTTTCCTCGTACGATACGATATTCATCACCTAACCTCAAAACTCGAATTGAAGCGTAGCTTGAAACCCAGCTGCGGCTGTACCTGGAAGCCGAGACAAGTTGCGTAATGAAAATCAACGTTTTATGTCCCTTGGCCTAACACTGACAGTGGGACGTAGCCTAACAAGGTTTACAATTCAAATGGGATATTAATCGTGTATGAGAATTTGATTACCATTAGTGATCCAGTTTACATGAACATGCGTAAGCGGTGCTGCAATCTGGAAATGCAAATGAAAGATTTTAGAGAGAAGGGAATCTTTTTTAAAGAGTTACGTGACGAGTCGGGGAGTCGTTACGAGGTTTTAAAAAGCGAAGGTGAAAAGGACTCATCGTACCTTAATTCAGTTTATGAATCGGTATAAGTTAGTTTAGAACACGGGGTAAATATGGCGCTAATTGTCTGCGAGGTGGCCATTAAAATTTCCTCCATGGTTTGGAAATTTAATGAAACCCGCGACCCTTGTCGCACAGTTAATTACTCTGGCGACGCTTAAACGGAGTTGACCCTGGATATAGTGCAGTTTGCCACCATGACCTCTATCGCAATCCGCATCGATCATATCCTAACCTCACATGTAAATCGCAATATACGCGCATCTCGGGAAAAAGGACGGCATTATAAGCTGCCATTAATTAACGTCACCCGGCGAGGTCCATAATTTAGCCGGGAACGTCTGGAACATTTGTGAACTTTCGGAATGTACAGGAATTCGCAATTCCGGAAAATTAGCAAGCCGTTCAAAGACGCGACCGCGAGTATTCTCGCGATCCAGATTCGCTCGTCTTGCAGGATGGATAGCGATTAACAATGTTATGAAATAATCTAAACTATCGTAAATCAAAGCCCTCCACTTGCTGGATAATTATCGACTCCCCCAAGTTGTTCACATTTTATATATCAGGGGATTTTTTAAACCAACCGGAACTCGGTTCACCCCAAGCTTCGGCATTTCGAGCTTATCGATAACTCGTACGACCCTATTATCTGCGGATAAAGCTCGAACGACGGGTCGAAAATTCAATAAAATTTGACCGATCCTTACTTCGAGGTTAATTACTCGGGGCCGATTAGATGGAGTTGACCTCAGTCGTCGTTTGGCCCGCTGCCGTCGGATGGCGCTGACTCGCGGTGGTATGCTTCTACAGATATGGATAGATTGTGATTTCGGTGGAGCCGAGAAACTTTTACAGTATTTTTCCGCACGAAGTGGAAATTATATCTGTTGCTTGTTGCCATTTTTCCATTATATGCTTATTCTTCTTTCGTTTAATCGAGACTCCGATTGTTTCTTCTATTTTTAGCCCTTTAACATGCGGTTCGCCCACCATGATGGAGTCTTGGGGTCCCGGAAGCGCGGGGGCGCCACCGGTGCCGCATCCGGTACCGGCGGGAGCCAATGGCGGCGCAACGGCCGGCGCCGGCGTCGTTCAACCGGGTACCACGGCGCCAATCGCGAGCCCCGAGGGTGTCAGCGACGTAAGTGCCATTTTTAAATGGGATATAATCCGCAATCGTATACGGCTCGATAAGTCCGACATTGCATAAAGGAGAATCCAAGTGACGGTCGACAGAGGCGAGAGAAATAGGCAACGTATGACTATGAAGTAGTATAAGAAGGCATAACGCTAATGGCCGGTTCCACAGGAAGTGGCCCCAAAATCGGGACCCAGGATCTCAGACTTTCGCCGATCTAACGACGCGAGCGCCGCTTGCGGAAAATGAGGAAACTTCAATCCTACGTGACCAAAACATTTCCTATGGATGTAAATAGCCTGATATGCTTTTAATTTTTCAATTAAGGTACGCAAAGCGAAACGACAATCCGCGTATGATGTACAGAATGTGATGTTTTTAACGCGATAAAGACGAACGGACGATAATTTTTAATTGTAAAATTTCATCGAGGCGCTCTCGGCCCTAGATCAGAGAAAATCCTGAAGATCTTGGATCCCTAAAGAGGGGACGGTTTCAATACATGCCGTTGGATCTCCTTATACTACTTCGTGCGTATGACTACCTTCGTCTTGAAAGGGAACTTCTTTAGAAGCGTGTTCCAACATGGCGGGTTTTTTCATCGATTCGATACATTGAAAATGCCAGACGTAGACGGTTGCTCGCTGCCGATAAAATAATCAACGGCGTCACGCTATTGATTCCTTTCGCCATTTTGAAAGGTGAATTTTTCTAGAGCTATAACTGTACCGCGGCTCCGACGTCGGTTAGAGTTGCTTTATTGGACCCGGGAGATCCGGGGCGACAGGAATTGATACAATGACCGCCATCTTAAAACATGAGACCTTTTTTTTTAGCAAGGAGTTATTTAACTATCCGGGAGCCTCGTAACTGCCTGCGACAACGGGGCGCATTATCGAGGTCAACGAGAGACAGTTCATTTGGCGTGTTCTATCGGAGGATTGATTTGCAGTTATCGGCGGTTTTCATGACACCAGCTGTTCGTGATCTTTGGCAATGATCCGGGATTTATTGAAAACGACGCCTTCCACGCGACTATTTCGGCATTGCACGTAATGCACTTTTTTCGTGCCGAGGGGGAATAAACGGAATCCGGTACATGTTTATTCCGAAGTGACGTAACCGCTCGGAGATATTTCATGTCACATTATCGCGGCAATATAATATCGAACGGTGTTACCGCGTAACTGTGTCAGGTCGGGTGAAAACGTATTTAGTAGGCTTTATTTTCATGCGACCGTCAGGGATTCCCCCACATTCGTCCTCGGGAATTGGGCTAAAGGTCTCGAACACCTCGCCCAGAGCAACCATCCCCGTAAATCGCGTGTCTGATGGAATAAGGGAGAAACCATCGCGCTTTGTGCAGGTGTCGCAAAAATCGGGAATCTGGGAAGGCCCCATGAACTCGTCGTCGAATGGCGCAGCGGAGGGTCCCTCGAGGAGCGTGTCGCACGCGGCGAGTTTGGACGCCATCTCGCGGCGGGCGGTGAAACCGGAGATGGCGCGGGCGCCATGTCGCAGCCTGACCTGCAGCGTCTGTAAGCATGCCCTTTATCCGAGGCCGGACATCGTAGTTTAAGCCGGATTTAAGCAATGGCCGAGGCCGCGGCCCGCTCGACGGAGCGGAGGAAACCAGCGGCAGCGGATCGTACAGAGACCCCTATTACCGACCCTGCCGAAAGAGGCGTCGAGAATCAAATTTCCCGCCCGAAGTAGTCGTGCCTCTCCCGAAGGGCGGCGCTGCGATTGGGCCAATCGGCACTCGCCGTCGCCCCCACCCCACCCCCCCCTTCACGTTTGACAAATTGGAGTTCAATTGGAATCCGGAATGATAGCGTCTTTCTTTCTCTCTTTTTCTATCTCCTTCTCTATTTCTCTTCCCGCTTAAGTGGTATGTCTAAAATTGAATCCGAAAAAAACCATTCTAGTAGCCGGTCGGGAGAGCGAACACGTCACCCTCGAGCGATGGCCAGCGACTGTCGATAACCTCCTCGAAGGTAAAACAGGACGAGAGCGGACGCCCGCCATTACTGGTCGAGCGCCGGCAAAATTGCACCCCTAACTTACCAACCGCTTACAGCTTCCCGTAAAGCTTACCCGATACATGATATATGTCCGTATACATATAACGTGTTTCTGATAAGTTTTCGTTTTTCTAATATTGAGCTTGCATTTAGGCCTGTTTATTACTTAACAATCTCTATCCCCGGTCGACTCGAACTCGAGCCATTCTCTACTCTGTACATATATGGCCGCTAACTGGAACGTTCGCCGATAATAATGCACGTTTCCGAGTTCCGTTTCTCCTTCGCTCCCAGTTTTGAACATATTTAACGCGTTACGCTCGTACGTGCAATATTCCCGGCGAATTGTCGCTCCTGATATTCTCTTGTCGTTGCACTGTTGCGGTATCGAGTCGCATCCTCTGCGCAAGATACTTCCATGGTTTATATATAATGGTAAATAATAATGGTTTATTTTAATATAGATATGATACATAATTTATTTTATATCTTTAGAGTACATATTTTAGGGAGTCGTGAAAACTTGATACGTGAAATGTTGCAACGATAAAAGAATTCTCTAAATATGTATATTCCTGATATAACAACATAATGAGCACTGTAGTCTGCTCGGCCTGCTATGATGCGCTCGTAGCATATCATTTTTTCACATAGTTTCAACAGGAGTTCTGTAATATGTTTAAATCTACTCCGGATTCGTGGAAGTACCTTTCAATGGAGGCACTCCAGTTCCTACGTTTTGGGTCAGGGGTCAACTTTGCTCGACCGTGACTTGGCATGGACCTGGAAGTTCGTCGAATATTCTGAAATTTTAATCGTAGAGACCCTCGAAAATCTCCTCACCAATCTCGCCGAATTTTTGAGATTGTTAATACTTTTCTTACGGGATCTGGGACAGTTCTCCAAGACGCTCACCCTCCCTGCTCTCCGAAGTTTGGAAAAATCTGTAGCCGCATCGATTCTTAGAACCTTATCAACTTTCGTATCATGGACGTAGGATATATGAACTCTGCACATTGATCTGAGTATGAAGATAGGATTGAAATAAGAGAGAAAATAAAGAGGCTGTTTTCTCGTTTTTTCTCTCCCTTTTCATATGAAATATCTGCGCAGCGTAGTACGGTAACAGCTTGTCCAATATCATGAGAGGGTGAGAGAGGGAGAGAGAAAGGATAACTCCCCTCTTCGCTTTCTTTTTCTTTTTCCTCCCTTCATAAGGTCAATGAAAGGGTTTATCTATGTATCCTATGTTCATGGGTAATGTGTATTAGTCGGTGGTACGTTTCCTTGTCGACCCATGAGTGCAACTAGCAAGGTTGAGTATTAGGTAAAAAGTTCATAGCTACGCTTTTGTCACAATGGAGCGCAATGGCTGAACTCACGGCTTGTCTTACGACACTGAGAAAAACTTTCAATTTGAATATCCCGACGGCCGACATTCCGGAAACGACCCTCGGTGCGCCATCACACTCTCATTGTACAAACCATTATTAATGCTCGTCGAGTTTTCACCCTCGATGAAGTGTTCCCTCTAACACCAGTTTCGAGAACATGAAAACGAAAATGAACCGAAATTGCGAGATAAGGAAGGATATCGTAATCGTTTTCTTTCACAGGTATGAAGCTTCTAGTGCGGATTGACGAACTCGTTAATGACTCACTTCTAATGCTTCTAGATCGAAATTCAGCCTTGAAATTTCGCGGAAGGTCGAGCCGAAGCTTCACTTAATATGTCCGCGTAATGGCGCGAAAAAGATGGAGATTTTGTGAAAAATGTAGAGGTCCGTCAAGCCTGAATTTCTACAGAAATAGACATTTAGATCGACCTAAACTTTCCGGAATGAATGGAGAAGTTCTCCGGGTGATGCAGGGTATTTCAATTTCGTTTTAGCGGCGAAGCACTCGAAAATCTTTCCGGGCGTCGCTTCGGAAAGCGACTTGCAAAGATGGCGGGCCTCGAAAGACCGGAAGTCGCCGTCGCTCAGTCAAATGGGACAAGATTCCCTCAAACACAAGGTGAGTCGATGATCCATTGTCGCAAAAATATGCAATTCTACGAATTCCGAAGGATTTTCACATGATCAACCCTCGATGGGACTTTTTCCTTATAAATCTGTTAATCTCTGTTTCAGTTCTCGCTGCAGGACAATGGATCCGCAAAGTATTTCCAAGGCGCCATGCATACGCCGAACATGGGGGAAAAAGTCGCCCAGGTGAGTCTTTTAATTAATTTCCATTCAACGAAAACGCAACAGCAATATCTTACTCTAATATTTCTGTCGCCGAATACCTGCAAATGCTGTAGGACTTTTTTTTCTTATTACACCTATATCGGATGAGATATTTTTCTGAAGGGCGATTTTGACGAGGGGTCAAGATATGACGCTCTTAGACCACACTGACAACTGTCATTCTGCCAGTTCAGGTAACTCGTCCTGTCAATCCTCCGCGAGATGATGCTAATCAGATAGAATCATTTTATAAGGTTTCGAGAATGCAGATTAGCTTGAGCATGGTGGCATGAAAAATGACGTTCCAAGGACTCGAAAGCTCCTTAAGAAAATGCTCATTTCGCCATCAATTACTGACAATCACGTTCTTACGAAGCCGTCTCTACAGAAGTAGACGGACAAGTAAGGAGAACGATCGCTGTTCAAAGGAAATATTGAGGAATTTATATAGAATGTAGAATTACCAGAATCGCCGGGTCATGAATCCGCCGCCATCTTGAACGAGCTGCGTGATGCTTTCTTTGGATGCACAGGAGGTTCATCGGTAAAATTGTCGATCGCAAAGCCCTCTATAAGGTCAGATAATATTTTCCTTCGTAAGAGTAGAGAGGCTACGAGAGTTTTCCACCCCTGGGGCCCTTTTTGGGGGGTGTGGGGTTGCAGTTCGCAAGATTGCAAAAGAGGCATGGTTTGCAGCGACGCCCTCGGCGGAGCTTTGCAGCGTCTCGTCAAGGTTCAAGAGCGTATCGACCTCTACTTTGCCCTCTTACTTTATCTCGAGTGGTACTCGATGATAACCACCCTAGGCCGGGGCTTTTAAACAATTGTCGAGCCCCTTTGGGGATTTTTAAACATTTCCCTTCCTCCCCGCTTTGCCTGCTAATTACGTCTAATTAAATCGGGATTCTCGTTTGCCTCCTCGGCGGAGATTTGACCTTGGACCTTTACGTTTATAGTAGCGTGTTGTCTTCCGAAAATTGCGGAAATATTTATCCGAAAATTGGGGAAATAAATATTCCGGGAAAATGGTCGCCATTTTATGGATTTCGCGTATCGAGATGGGGGAGGGACATTCGAGGATCCCTGAGGACCCTCGACCGTATCTTTTAGGCTCGATTATCGGAAAGTGGGTTCACTGCCACTTTTCTTTCCAATGGTTAGTTACGTTTCGTGCCAGTGGCTAGTTAATGGTACTTTCCGAGCGGTAATCGATGGAAACCTTCGCGAAGGAGGTCTTATTAGGCCTTTATGCATCATCTTTTACGTCTCATGACAGCAAACACTTGTAAGGGTTCGGCCTCATTAACCCTTTCAACTATTTTACATAAACGCTTTAGTTATTCATTGCGGGACGCGGTATTAACTACATTCTTCTGTGATAGAATAATTTATAACGTGCATTTATAACAATTGAATGGAGCGTTTTATTGGATCGTTCCAAAAGTTCTGTCGTTTTGTACTCTATCCTTTTTCTCATTTTTTTCCCTCTTTTCTTTTCTTATTCTCTTCTTCGAACTTTCGGTACCCCGTTTATGATATTACTTTGAAACTCATCTAAAAGAGAACGACGAAACTTTTGAAATTTGATAATAGAAAGATTTTCTAATTTTGAGGTACAGAAGGAAAGTATCGTTTTTAGGATCGAAGAATGTTTATTGAAAGGATACATCGACAAATACAGGTAGAAGTAACACAATTAGTAGACGTCGATATATATTGTGGGATATGAAGTGGGAGAGTATAAAACTGAACAATGCATGCTGAAACGCGTATAAATACAGGAACACGACTGTCAATCGACTGATTGTTACCGGAAGCCTTTTGAAGGTAGCCAGGAAACAAATAAACCACTTTAAAGGAGAAAATCAGTGAAGAAAAATTGTCGTCGATTTAAACTAATCGTTAATTTAAAATAATTTCGTTTATTCAACCTGACATTTCTTTCTACCTATTTGATCGCAGGATTTTGCCGCCGCGATGCATATTTGTTTAAGTCGACCGACTTCTTTTTCTTAGTGCACGGGAAACATGCGAGTAGTTTAACCCATTAATTACGAAACGCCACTATAGTGGCTTCCGCATAACGGACGTTTTTTAACGAAGCGCCTCTATAGCGTCTCCCTTCATTCCCAGGTATTCAAAGCGAAGCGAATATCGTATTCATATGAAATATTAACACTCCTTGGTGTAGCTATCCCAGATGGTTCTTCTTCACGTCCGTCTCCGCCGTAGTTAGCACCAGAACTACCGGCGGATTTTTCTTTTTTTCATTTTTTTTTCGCATAAAATGGGCCATCTGAAAGCAGTCATTTTGACTTGTCTTCGTAGTTCTAGGGTTAAATGGTTAAAGTCTTACGGGAAAGGAGAAAAGATGGGCCGACGGGCGACCTGGCGAGCGGCGAGGGCTCGATCGGCGCCGAGGTTAATCCGCGGTCTCGGAGGCGTCGATCGCCGCGGTCCCGCGGCGCAAAGGAGCTTCCCGGCTTTCCTCCCCGCGGCGCACCGCCTAGTTACGGGAAGCCGCCGCGCGGCGGCGCCCTCGTCAGTGTCGCAGTGTGTTCCCGTCCTGCCAGCCAGTCTACACCGTAGCCATTCCGTCCATGTCTCGGCCGCTCCCGCGGAGCGCCGCAAGTGTAAACCGGCCGGAATCGCCGATCGGACTCGCGAGGTGCTCGATCGCGTCACGTAAGCCGCCATCTTTCCGCCGGTGCCAGCAATTAGAGTATCCGGGCCTGTGATTGGCCCGGCGGGCTCGGGCCGAGCGGGCCAGCCAATCGGCTGACGCGCCGCGAGTGTGGACCGATCGAATCACCGTAGGCGATTTTGGCGAACGAGTTGATACCCGGAAACGCGTATAGATAGATTCCGTTCCGCCGATCGATCCGTCGCCAACCCAATCTACAATCTTATCGGGAGGTTGACGGCTCGCCGTTATATTTGCGCGTCTATCGACTAGACTCGTCGCGTACGCGATGTGCGGGGCCCCTTGTTTTCTTTTATTTCCGTTGGCGCGGCCGCGGATCCAGGGGAAACGTCCAATCGGGCCGCCGACTGCCGGTCCCGAATTGCCGATCGGCCGCGTGTGGGTTCTTTTTCGCTCTCGTCACGGTACGCGCGTCCAATCTGTCGTCAATGAGAATTGGATAGGTGGAGTTTGCGAGATCCTTTTTTTTCTTCTTTTTTTTTTCTCTTTAAAGCGATCTATGTTCGCGCTTATCCGATTGGTTCGCTAGTCGCGGACGGAAATGAATCGACCAATCGGAACGCCCGACACTCGTGGCTAGACTGACAAGCGAAGGATCTGACGTCAGTTCCTCGATAATGTAAAATTCTCCGCGTTCGTAACGTCGATTGGAATTCATGAAATTCCACCCAATGAATCGAATTAACGCATCGGAAATACGTGAGAAATGTTAACGGAGGGAAATGGATGTACTTTGGGTTAGGTTGGAAGCTTGCCTTTCCGCAGGAAAAGTTTTCTGATGCAAAGCCAGATTTTCTTGCAGAATAATCTGGAGCCAAAAATGGGGGGGGGATACAGTTACCGAACTTTCTTAATAATTCACCTTGTCAAAGGGGAATGGATGCTTTTATACTCAATCTTATAGGCGAGAAATGGCGAAGTGTGGCTTCAAAAGTTTCCCGGAAACTTTGCCAGAGTTTGGGAGATCGGGAGTCCCAGATACAGAAGAATGGCCCCGAAATGTAGTTCGCAAAGATTCCCGGATTTTCTCGCAGCTTTCTAATTGCGCGTTAATAGATAATCGAAACGGCTCGAATACGAGCCGCCAAATTGTGACGGGCCGACCTCCAATTAAAGGCAACTTGAATATAATTTGCTTGCCATTAGGGAAAGCGGGAAACTGATTAATGCAAATTGAGATTCATTACCCTTAAGACGAGTTTCTGCAGGGTTGAAGAGCCATTATATAAACGCGTCGCTAGAGGGGAAAAAAATCAACCCTTGGGGGATTTACATTTTCCCCGCGACGCCACTCGACATAATTAACGGTGGAAAAAAAATCCAAATTAACTGGAAAAATTGTTTATCGCCTGAAATCGTTATTTCGAGGCCAGGGAATTTCCTCGGTTGAGAAGTCGAGAGAGGGATGCGAGTTCTTCCTTTTCGAAAATCGCACAGGATTTACATTTCCGTCGAAACGCCATTCAACATAATTAACGGTGAAAAAAAAATCCAAATTAAGTGGGAAAATTATTTATCGCCTGAAATCGTTATTTCGAGGTCAGGGAATTCCCTCGGTCGAGAAGTCGAGAGAGGGATGCGAGTTGTTCCTTTTCGAAAATTGGACGGGAAGCTTGCCAGAGGTCGAGAGAGGGTGGAGGGCGGTTGGGGATGGTCAGGGTAGCGTTTTACCGGGAAAAGCACCGCGTGCCAGATTATGTGCTCTGCCAACATGACGAAATCGATAATGCCCTCATAAAGTTGTCACCGATTCCTTTAACCCCTTTGAAACCCACATATGCAACGAAAGCCGATAAATACCCCCGCAAAGATTTCCCTAGGTTTACCCCGAATTACAAGTTGGAACTAATTTGCTCTTATGGCTGGTCCTACCAACCGTGATTAACGTGAAATTTCTTAACCCGATCAATAAATCTCGGATTAGTAAAACTCTCGTTGCGAAGGATTAGGTTAACCGAGTATCGGTTATTAGCTAGCCGTCAAAAATCGGGCGATTAACTGTAAACCCGCGTTAAATAATCCCTGATTAAGGATTTTAACTCGAATGTTGAGGCAACTGGCCCTTGAAATCCCTGCTCGAGACATTGAGAGGGTGCTTGAAGTCCCGAAAATAGGGACTCTTTATTTACGGGAAATTTTGGAGGATTCTCTAAAGGCGAGACGAGGACGAATCGAAAGTATGCCCCTCGCCATAGGGCAATTTCCGGGACATTCAGGCTGGACGATTCACGAAAGTGTCCCCGTCGCGCCAGAAAACAAGTCCTCAAGGCAACAATGG